CCCTCCGTCAGTCTGCTCGTCCGAAACGCGAGGGATGGAGAGCGGTCCATGCTCCCCAACACCTGGTGGACAGAAGCTCCTACAAGGGGTGCGCTTCCAAGACTGACCCCCGCAGGCTGTCTTTTCCCACTGCCAGGGGGCGCCCTGCAGCAAGGCCCGTGTGTAAAGGTCAGCCATTTCTCATAGCAACGTGAGACAAGACGGCTTATGCGGAGCCCCACCCCTGGGCTGGAAAAACTCCCCGTTTAAAAAGCATTTCCTTATTCTCGTGGCCCGTCTGAAAAAGAGACCTGGGCATAGTCTTGGGTGAAAAGCAGCGAGGGCTCAGAGGAACAGGACACAGCCTGCGGACACACCCATCTCCTACCCACTCAGACAGACAGAGATTCTGAAAGGAGAGACTCTGATGTATTAATAGAAGGTGGAGAAGTCACCTTCTTTGTTTCTCCAGCTTCCTAAATCTTTTCCCAGTAACAACTACGATGTGTGTGTTTACAAAACCTCCGTGCTGACCAGGCCCTCCGCGGGGGCGGGGGGAGCCGGGCCGGGGTCCCCTGCCCTCCTGTCTGTGTGCGGCACAGCCCGAGACCCAGGCCAGAGGCCCATCCCTCCCAGCTGTCCCCGCCCACGGGATCCCTCTGATTTCCTGCGTCACTTACTGCACGTCTGGCCACAAGTGACAGGAAGGGCCAGAACCCCTGACTCTGTGGTCTCCGTGCCCATGACAAGGGACCCAGCACGAGGCAGGCGATCCCAGCGGGAGGGGCACGGGGAAGAACCTTTGTGTAAACTCACCATGGTGTGCCGCTGAGGCCCTGGGCTGGGGTCCTGGCACAGCCCTTAAATCGGGAGGCGGCCCCGGGGGGGGGGGGGGGGGTTCGGGGGGACCCTGGGGCAGGCCCCGACCCCTGGCAGCCGTGGGGTTCGTCCGAGGGGAGACCAGGAGCCAGAGGGGCTACAGGGCCAGGCCTAAAGGGGTTCGTCTGGCCGAGCACAGACAAGTTCTCAGGCAGAGGCAGACGGCACCACCAACCCAGTTCATCACACTGAACACTTCCTTCCTCACTGCTTCTTCTTCAAAAGACCCTAGCGCCATGGTCCGCAGACCGCGGCTCGCGAGCCACATGCGGCTCTTGGGCCCCTTGAGTGTGGCTCTTCCACAAAACACCACGGCCTGGGCGAGTCTATGTTGAAGTGGCGTTAGAAGAAGTTTGAGTTTAAAAACTTTGGATCTCCAAAGAAATTTCAATCGTCGTCCTGTTGATACTTGGCTGTGTCGACTGAGTTTGTCAACCATTGCCTTAAAGTAGGGGTGTCGAACTCAATCAGAGAAGGGGCCAAAATCTAAAATCCAGCCTAAATCGCGGGCCGAATGGTTTACTGAACAGTCATAAACTGTCATTGTGATGGAAACGCAGCGGAGTGCAGTGATGACAGCGCGGTGCGGGCCACATTGCAAGGCCTGGCGGGACGGATTTGGCCCGCGGGCCTTGTGTTTGACACATGTGCCTTAAAGTAACCCTCAGGAACTCTCACTCAGGTAACCCTCGGCAAGTGCTCCATGCTCTGAGCCTGAGCACATGCGTGTACAGAAAGCACATGTCTGGGGCGGGACAGAGCAGGTGTACAAGGCAGCTCTGTCACTAACACAATCCCCCTGAGCCTCAGTGTGCACGCCCCAGGTGAGAAGAGCAACACATCAGACTCCCGATTAGAGAAACGTCCATGGACTCGGTCTTCCTGACCGTCTGCCCCGCCCACACCCTCACCTGCAGTCAGAGTAACCGACATGAGCGGGCACCGAGTCCCTCGGCTGACTCCAAAACCAAGGCGGATGGACCAGGCCACCTCCTGGCATTTCTCTTAACCCACAGAAACACGCCAAAAAAAAGCACGCGTGAAAAAAACGCTCAGTGGTACTGTTTTTGAGTGGGAACATGGAATATCTCTTTGAACGAAGGAGAACTCGCACGGGGAGGGTGTCTGAAAGGAAATGGGATTTTAAGTTTTGTCTACATGCAACTTGAACTGGAAACTATTCCTGAGTGTGTCCTCAGTGTTTTAGATGACATGACGGTTACACATGATTAAAGACAATCATGTCCTGTCTTTCCATAACATTCCCTGAATGGTGGAGTAAGTTTAATTTACCCCAAACGACTCTATCAATTGGATGTTTCAGGCTGATAAGCACATTCAATCACAAGACAGCAAGGCTGTTTTCACTTTAAAAGCTCCATCGACACGTCGCAACGAGAAATACCTGGTACGGATCAGGTTCTAATGTAGCCAGAACAACGTATCTTCTTATACTTTTCTTTTCAGGGGGAGAAACAAGGTCTCCTCTGCTCCTGGCACGAACCCCCAAAGGCCCTGGCACGAAAGGGGCTCCTGCGACCCCTCAGAGCCAGCGGGGCGGAGGCTGCTCTGCAGAACCACGGTGGGAAGACCACGCCACCAGCCGTGGCCCGGGACTTACACCAGGGGCGCACGCAAACCCTGTGCCGGCCGGGATTGCCCAGCCAGAAACCCCCTGCTCCTCCCAGAACAGGCAGGGCCCGGCTCCCGCCAGCGAGAAGGAGGCTGATGCCATCTCCGCTCTCAATGATCCTCCCGCCCCGCCGGGCCCGGGAGGTGCTCGGCGTGTCCCCGTTTCCTGGACACCGGGGCTGGCGTTTGCTGATAAAGACTCTTTCTGCAGGACCTACTCACAGGCGGGGTGTTTGTTTGTTTGTTTGTTTGTTTTAATATATTTTTATTGATTTCAGAGAGGAAGGGAGAGGGAGAGAGAGAAACATCAATGATGAAAGAGAATCATGGATCGGCTGCCTCCTATACGCCCCCCACTGGGGATCGAGCCTGCAACCCAGGCATGTGCCCTTGACCGGAATCGAACCCGGGACCCATGAGTTCACAGGTCGACGCTCTATCCACTGAGCCACACCGGCTAGGGCTCCTCACAGGTCTTAAAGAGATTAAGTGGGTGTATTAAGCACACCCTCCTCTCGTTGTACAGAGGAGTAAACTGAGGCCAAAAGAACCCAGGCATCTCATTGAAAATAATAAAGCAAATACTGTCAGCAATAAAAAATATATTATAAATAACAGTAATAATAATAATAATAAAGCCAGTGCGTTGAGAAGCTGGCCCGGGGCTGTACCCGCAGACCGCTCGAGCTGGTTCGGACCTGCTCGCTGGGGCTGTCTCCGTGCCGGGCACCAGGCCTCCTCGGGCCACGTGCTGTGCGGACACCGTGTTACTCGGTGTGGACGGAAGGAGACCCTCGGGGCCTGAGGAGGCGCAGGTGTCCGTTAGCATTTTTCATCAACGGAGTAGCTTTTTAATTAAGGCAGGTGCATCGTGCTTACAGACAATGCTACTGCACACTGACAGGCTACAGCGGAGTGTGCTCACAGCCTTTGTGCAGGAAAACCAAAACACTCCTGCCGTTCGCCTTATTGCGACATTCGCTTCGTTGTTGGTGGTTTGGAGCCAAACCCGCACTGTCTCAGAGGTGTGCCTGTGTTCTCACTGTGAGAACAATGCAGGGAGCCCCGGCTCAGTGGAGAGAGCGTCAAACTGCAGACTGAGGGGCCCCGGGTTCCATTCAGGTCAAGGGCAAGGGCATATGCCCGGTTTGGGGCTAGATCCCCGGGGAGTGGGCGGGGAGGGGGTGCAGGAGGCAGCCGGTCAATGATTCTCTCTCATCATTGATGTTTCTCTCTCGCTCTCCCTCCCTCTCTGAAATCAATAAAAACGTATTTTAAAAAAATATCCTGGAAAACATTAGTCACACACCAACACCAATGTCCCCTGGGTCGTAAGGGTAGGAGCAGTGCTAATTTGGTTGAATCTCCTCTCATTTATTCCTTTCAGTCACAACTACAGAGATGATGGTGAATGAAGACCCACTGTGATTTTTATCCTCTCCCACTATGACATGTCATATTTTCAACTAGCAAATCGAATCAGTACTCGGGATGCTGAACACAATATACAGATGTTGTATTACAGAAGCGCACACCTGAAACCTGTATAATTTATTAACCAATGTCACCTCAATAAATTCAATTTAAAAGTGGGGGGAAAGGCCACACAAAAAATACAATAAAAAGAAAAACACAATCCAGAGGCTTCAAGGAACCGCCGACGGGTGACCCCGTCACCGTGTGAACGAAAGCTCCTCTGCGATGCAGACTGCCACACGGACCCGCGCGCCTCAAAGACCACGTTCAGGCCGCGCCTCCGAAACCCCCGCACAGGAGAGAGCCCCCTCGCCAAGGTGCACCCACACACGCTCCCGGTGGCTAAGGGACGCTGTGGGCCGTGACCAGAGGCCACTGAGTGCTACGGCCTCAGAGCAGGGCGAGATCTGGGACCGCTGTCCCCCCGGCCACAGCTCTGGGAGCCACCGTGTCCCCGCGGGGCTGGCCGCCCGGGAGGAAAGCCCGGCCTCACACGTGCAGACAGCCAGGCCCGTCCCCAGCCGCCTCCGTCCTGCCTGCCTCCTCCGCACAGAGCTGGAGGCTGGCAGGTCCACGCCGGGTTCCCCTGCGTGCACGTGCCCTTCCTCCCCGAGAAAGCAGCGGTGCCACAACGCTCCAGCCACACATCACCTCCAAATGCCGTCCTCCGAGCCAGTGTGGAGACCAGGCCACCCTCCTGCACACACACACACACACACGGACACGGGAACATGGAGCAGCAAGCCACACGCCAGGAAAATCACGGCTGGGGCACCCAGGCCCCGGGTGCCATCTCCCTCCTGGCACCCACTTCGCCTCCCGCGGGCTGCATCACCCACACACCCCTGCGCCTCCCGGGCTGGCATCTCACGTCTGCCTCCCCTTGGCCACCGGCCCCCGGACCCGGGCTTGGGATGAGGCTGAAGGGCAGCAAGAGAAGGATAAGGAAGGAAACCTCCCAGCCACGGAACGGCGAGAACAAAGGACGCGCGGGCATGTGGGCAGGACGGGAAGCCACGCAGACGCTCAGGTACCTTCTGGGGCCGCCGAGGTAGGTGAAGGTGAAGGTGGAGTCCGAGTACCTGAAATCTGAACACAGGCCCGTTAGGAGCCGCGGAGGGGGTGAGGGGGAGGTGGGGGAGGATGGGGGGACAGGGGTGAAGGGGGGAGAAGGTGGGGATGGGGTGGCCCCGGGTTGGGGGTGGGATCCCCGGTGGTGGAGCCACAGGCCCACCCCCACCCCCGCCCCGGGAGGCTGGACGCCGCGGGGACCCGGACGCCGGAGGGATGCCCCCACCCCCCGCAACAAGTGCGGTGCCATGGCAACGCGGGCACCGGGAGCGCCGGGCCGGCGGCCGGAAGCGCCCTCGCCACCCCGGAGGCTCCGGAGCCGAAGGCGGTCCCTCCCCCGGGACCGCGCCGGGCGGACTGCGGGGCCCGGTCAATCGGGGCGCGCACGGGGGACCCACACACAGCGGAGACCCCCCGCCCCGCCCGAGCCCCGGTCCGGCCCCGGAGCGGCGGGCGGCCCGGCCCTGGGGAGGGGGCGGCAGGCACCCTCCCGCGCCCCCTCCCGCCGCGGCTGCCGAGCGGGCCCGGAGCGGGGACGGGGGCGCGGGGCGCGGGGCGGAGATCGGGGGCAGGAGCCGGGGACAGGGGCGCGGGGCGGGGATCGGGGCCGCTCACCCGCGAACAGGCCGTCCCGCTCGGCCCGGGAGCGCTGCAGGACCACGTCGATGTCCTTCTGGATGCGCTCCTGCCGCGAACACATCCCCATGGATCCGCCGAGAGCGCCCCGCCCGCGCCGCCGCCGCCGCCGCCGCTCAAAGCGAAAGGCCGCGGCCGGGCGGGGAGGGGCCGGCGCTCCAGCTGTGCCGCCGCCGCCGCCGCCGCCGCCCGGGCCGGTCCGCCCTCCGGCCGCCCCTCCCTCCGCCCCGGAGCGCCCGGCCGGGAGCGGGGAGCCAGCAGCCGGGCCCGGCCTGGGCGCCCCCGCCCCGCGCCCCCGGTCTCCGCCCCGCGCCCGCCGCGCACACCCCGCCGCAGCGCCGCCCCCTCCGCGGGCACCGGGCACCGGGCTGCGGGCTGCGGGCACCGGCCTCCGGGCACCCGGCTCGGCGGGGAGGGGAGGGGAGGGAAGGCGCCCTGGGGCTCCCCCGCCCCCACTTTCCTGAATGCCCCTCCACTCTCAGAAGGAACAGTGAGTCAGACGGAAAACCCACACCGGAGTGGCCGGGAGGGGGCGGGGAGGTGGGAGGAATAAAGGAAAACCCTTTAAAATCGGAAATAAATAACTAGAAGGAACAAGTCCCTCCTTGTGTCAGGCGCGATGGAAAAGCCCCAAGTCACTCCAGGCGCCTCGTCCTGGCCTTTCCGGCCCCAGCTTTCTCTCCCGGTGGGAATACTGGGGTGCCCTCAGGAGGCGAGGGCCCCGCTGATGGACCCCCCATGTCCTCCCTCCCAGCATTGGTCCATAAAGACGTGGCTGACTCAACCGCCCGGGCCAGGGCGCCCACGGGGGTCTCTCCCCGCTTGTTCTAAAGGCGCCCCCGTCCCCCCGGCCACTGCCAGGGCCGCCCCCCACGCCTGGTCCAGTCACGAAGGAGCCGGGCTCCCAGCCTCCGGGGCTGGTGCAGGAAGTGGGGGGCCTGGTGCTGCCAGAGGCCCAGCAAGGCCCATGAACCTCCCCCTTTGACGCTGGCTCCCCTGGGCAGCCCGTCTCCTCAGTTCTGCATTCCCAGAGCCTGGTGCAGGGTGCGGGGCACAGGAGGGACTCCGGGTTCGGGCTGGCGGCAGGAGCAGCTGTGCCCGGCAGCCTCTGGTCTGTATGGGCACCCCGTTCCCACCAGCTTCCCCGCAGGCTGAGCACCGAGTGGCCCAGCAGGGCTCAGACTCGGACTGGCAGCGTGATGCTGAGGGGAATTAGGAGCCACTGTCCTCCCTGACGGATTGCAGGATTCTGGGGAGACACACGCCACGCGAGACAATGCGCCCCAATGCCTCCATCTCCTCCACAGAAAGGGAGACAGGACATTGCAGGCTGCACAGCCCCGAGGCAGCCCTGCGTGGGGACGGCCCTGCAGGGGCCGCGGCAGCCCTGGGCCTGCAGGCTCTGACCTGGGACCACACAGCGGCTCTCAGCCTCTGCTGCAGCACTTCCGGCCCAGGGCAGGGCAGGGCCAAGGACTGACTTCCTCCTTCCATCTTGTGCTCTGACTTCCCCAGACGGCGTCACACCTGTCCAGCCACCAGGGTTTACCTCCCGCCGCCTCTGCACCAGACCTGGGCTCTCAGAGCAGAGCCTCCCGCCGGCTCCGGGCCCTCCCACAGCGCGGGGCTCCTGTGCCGAGGCCCCTTGCTCCTCGTGAGTCGCGCTGCCTTTGACTTTCCCCAGCTTCCCGGGCTGGCCTGTTTCTGTGCCACAAAGCCAGCTCGCTCTGCGGGTGCCCCTCAGGTGTGATGTATGTAAGTATTTTTAAATGTTAAGGGAGAAGATAAAATACAAATAAAAAAGGAAACCCAGCTTCCCCTCTAGTACCCATTTCTGCAAGATACGCTTCTCCAGCAAAAACTGCACCAGGTTCTCGTGCTCCGTGCTGGGCCCTGATGGCGTGATTCTCTCTCCAATTCCGCCCAGGCCCGGGGTCCCCCTGGCCGGTCACAGCTCAGACTCTGGTGAAGCACTGAGATTATTTGTGCTCTTATGGAAGGCTGCAGGCACCTTTGAGAGGAGGAGGGTACATCCTTGCCTCTAGAGTCATGGGTATGCATGCACGCGTGCGCGCGCGCGCGCACACACACACACACACACACACACACACGGACACACACAGTAGGTGTTAGGCCCTGGGTATGGTTGCTGAAGCATAAAGCCCATCCCTCCCAGGGAGAGCTCGGTGGCGTGTATGAGGACAGCTGGTCTGTGCAGGACAGCTGAGCGCAGTGAAAGGCCTCCAGTTTGGAGAACGGGACCCCACGCCAAGCGGGAGGACTGTCAGAGGACAGCTGGCACCCCTCACCTGTGCTGGTGGCCTCTGCAGACGGACAGGGGCTGGCGATGGGCCTGGAGCGCGGGTGGGGGTCCACCCGCACGTCCCCACACTGCGGAGAGCTGTCCGACACACCCCCAGTGCCCAAACCCGGGGGTCGGCAAACTCATCAGTCCACAGAGCCAAGTATCAGCAGGACAACGATGGAAATTTCTTTGGAGAGCCACATTTTTTAAACTTAAGCTTCTTCTAACATTGCTTCTTCAACATAGACTCGCCCAGGCCGTGATGTTTTGTGGAAGAGCCACACTCAAGGGGCCAAAGAGCCGCATGTGGCTCGCCAGCCGCGGTTTGCCGACCACAGCCCTAACCCATGGCCTCGGCGCCCTGTAGGCTGGCTGCTCTGGCTCTCCACAGCGCACACAGAGGGAACTGAGCACGAGGGATCCATGAGCTCGTCTCGGTCTCCCCTCTCCGGACTGCCGGCAGGTGCACTGCCGGCCCAGGCCGGGAAGTAACTGTCCCCCAGCCTCAGCGGGGACGGGAGTGGTGGCCAGTGCAGCCGCCGGAGCGCAGGCAGGGAGGAGGGGAGAGGGCCCCAGGGGCCCGCCAGTGCCCTCCCCTGGGCCGGCCTGCTGTCCCACACACGTCCCCGGGGTCAGAGAGAAGGGATGGGAAGCAGGAAGCCCGGGTGCGATCGGCAGCAAAAGGCTGTGGGAGGGCCCAGCGGCCTCCGGGGGCTGCGGAGACATCACGGGGCAGCTGGCCTCTCTGGCAGCTCAGAGTGAAAGGGGGGGCGGCTGGCCTGGGAAGAGCTCACCCGGGGAAGGAAGTGGGGTTTGAGCGAGCCGGACGGAAAGCCGCGGGGAGGAAGGGGCTGGAGAGCTCGAGCTCGTTCCCATCACAGGTGAAGAGAGCTCCCTGCAAGGCTGCTCCGACAGACGGAGCCGGGAGCCGGGCAACTAAACGCCCGCTGAGCCCGGCGGCGCCTGCAAACGGCTGAGCCTGCGCGGCCCTCTCCGTGCGGAGCCGCTGGCACTTCTGCTCCCGGAGAAGCGAGTCCTGCAGGAGGGCCTGACCTCCTCGATGGGTCCAGCAGCCAAGGTGTGAGCAAACCAGAGTCCGCCCGAACAACCTCGGCAAAACGGAGGGGACTTTCAGGTGGTCTGAGGTGAACGTGTTCCGATTTGGTCCCAACCTGAGGCCGTGGTGAGATTGCACGGCCTTTCCCAGCCTCATGGCGCTGCCCTGAGACGAGCCGCGGTGTGAAACCGGACCGGCTGTCTCCGCCCAGGCCTCTTTCATCCAGCCCCGGTCTCCCCTTACACCCTAATCCCACCCGCCTCCGCCCCGCTGGCGGAGATGCCCGCCTTCCCAGGCAGGCACACATCCCTCCCGCGTGCTCTCACAGTAAGTCTGCTTTGTGTTGGATAGCTCTGGTTTCCTTTCTTCCTAAAAGCGCATAAATACCGCGAGAATATACTCTCTGGGGAAACTGTTTAAAACATGCGTGAGTACAGAGAGAAAAACATCCAGCCATCCTCATCCCTAACCCACTCCTCACCCCACAGGTAACGAGCATTTATCATTAGGAGAGAATTCTTTCATGCTTGCATTCATATAGTCAGACAAATGTACTTACGGGGTGTCCCAAAGATGTATGCACTCAGATAGAATAATTATAAAGGCGGTGTTTATCAAAATACTAGAGGCCTGGGGCACAAATTCGTGCACCTGTGGGGTTCCCTGGCCTGGCCTGCAGGGATCGGGCTAAAACCGGTTCTCCAACATCTCCTGAGGGGTCTCAAGCTGTGAGAGTGTGGTTCTCAGGTGACACACCCCGAAATCAGGCTCCCTGGTTCTGAGTGTGTCCTCCAAGAACCACAGCTGCCAAGTCACCGCAGCTCCTGCGTTGAGTGTCTGCCCCCTGCTGGTCAGTGCATGTCATAGCTACCGGTTGGCCGGTCGCTTAGGCTTTTATATGTATACATATGTCATTTTTTCAATTGAGCTATCAGCTGCCAACGTGTGTATACATTTTTTTTTGGAGATACCCTATATGTTCATAGTTTTATACACACACACACACACGCAGTTCAAAAGAAACCGCATGATACATGTTGTTATGCACCTTGATTTTTTTTTTTTTTTTACAGAGAGAAAGAGAGAGGGATAGAGAGTTAGAAAGATCGATGAGAGAGAATCATCAATCAGCTGCCTCTTGCACACCCCCTACAGGAGATGTGCCCGCAACCAAGGTACATGCCCTTGACTGGAATCGAACCTGGGATCTTTCAGTCAGTAGGCCAACGCTGGTTTCGGCTTGATTTTTTTTTTTTTTTTCATTGTCTTGTAGAACTTTCTATGGCAAAATCATCCAGCTCAGACCTTTTTGCCATGGAGGAGAATTTTACTGAATAGATAAACCATCACATATTTTACGCACATCTCTATAGTCATGATGGGTTTTTCAAATGCTTTGTGATTCAAGCAATTTGCAACAAATGCGCATCTTTCTGCACAGTTCCCACAGTCTCTTTGGGGTAGACTGTTCAGGGGTGGGGTAACAATCTCCATGGGCTGGCAATTCAAACATTTCATCAGTACAAGCAAGCTGCTCTCAAAATGACCTCATCATTTCCACGTGGTCACTACAGACCCTGCTTCATCTTGCAACTAGGAGCCAAGCCCAGTGTAGCCCAGCCTAGATCAGGCACGGACACCTGGAGGAGAATAAAAGATCGCTGGTTTAACCCGTGGAGTCTGGAGGGAATTTGTTACGCAGCACTACCGTGTTCCTTGGTGACTGATACAAACAGTAAAGACAATAGGAATCAACGAAAATGCTGCACACGGCTCACCAGGCCATTGCTGGTACAAACTAGAGA